TTTGGGGGGTGGGGGTTCCCAGCCTATCATCTATGGGGTATCCCAGGGTGGTGAGGCTCCCCAGCCTATCATCTATGGGGTGTCCCGGGGTGGTGGGGCTCCCCAGCCCACCCACACCCACCGTTGGAGTCCAGGGGGATGAGGTTGGCAGCGTTGAGCACTTCCACCCGGAGTTTCTGCTCCGAAGGGCGGTACAGGGCCTTGATGGTCACGGCCCCGTACTTCTCTGAGCTGGTGTCCAGCTGAGTGGTGGAATGCAAGAATAAGGTCACTGCCCTTTGGCACAGCCACAGAGGGGATGCCTGGGCTCTGGTGGAGGCTAAATGGACATTTTTGGTGTGACCAAGGGGTGATGAACATCCTATGGGATGCAATTGAACCCCTCCCTGCCCACGGTTGGGCAAAGCCAGCCCAAACAGGGCTGGGGGGAGAGGTGGGGAAATCCCAGGTATCCATGGGTGAGCTGTGCTGGGCAGCCTGGCATGTGTGAGGGTGGGGAAGGGGCTGGGGGCACCATCCTGCCTCTTGCCTGCTGCTGGATCCTGTTGCTGAAGTACTTCTGGATGAGCTTGCGGCTGGTGGCGGAGCAGAGAGCCAGGTGGGTCTCCAGCGACTGCAGGGAGGACGAGAGGTGACAGTCAAGCACACAGATGGGTCTACATCTTGGGGATACAGAAGGAAACCCTGGGGACCCCCCCAGCACCCCCTACCAGGAAGGCTGGGGTGTGTAGAGTCTCCAGTGGCAGAACACAGCCCTCAGCGTAGAAGCACAGCTCCAGGCTCTGGGGAGAAGGACACTGTTAGTGGGCACCCAAACCTCCCCTCCCTGCCAGGGACATCCCCCCCTGTCCCATCCCCCCCTCCTCGGTACCTTCAGGGCACAGTGAAGCTTCTTATAGCTCTGGGCCAAGGGGACCTGCTGCCCTGCAGCTGCTGAGAGCACGTCCAAGGTGTGATGCCAGAGGAGAGCGAGGAGGCTGCATGGGTGAGGGAGGACCCAGGGTGGTGGGTTAGGGGTTGGTCCTCAGCCAAGGGGCTTCACGGAGACCCAGAGGGATCCAGTTCATCCCCCTGGGCTGAGCAGCCAGCCCCAAAGAGGGGTGTCCCCAAGCCCCATGGGGCTGAGGGGGACACTCCTGACAAGGGACAGTGACACTGCTGACTCCCACCATGGTGCAACCCCAGGGCCTCAGTCACCTTTTGAAGTTCTCCTGGACCAGATGCTCGTTGAGATACTGCAGCTCTGACTCCAGGAACTTCATGAGTGGGATGATGGACTGCAGGGAGAGGAGAGGGGCACTGGGGAGGGCATGGGGGGTCCAACAGGGGTCTGCTGGCTGGAGCCAGCAGGGCAGGGGGGTCTGGAAGGACTCCATCCCACAGTGAGGACTTGGGAAGGCATGAGGCAGGGAGAGGTGGAGAAGGATGGTGGGGGCCTCCATCAAGTAGGTTATTCACAGTTGCCCGACCAAGAGAGCTGAGGAGGAGCCAGGCCAGGTACTTACATCCTCAGGCTCCCGGGTGTCACTGGAAGATGAGAGCTCCTGGATGTGTCTGGCGATGCCCTTTTCCAGCTGCCAGGGAGAAATGCACAGAGGCACTTGGCATTTGCCCTCTGCACCAGCTTCTTCATTCCCCATTCTCCTTCTCATCTCCACCCCAGGACCACTGGGGGCTCCAGACTCCCCCAGGTGAAACCTCCCCACTTTAGGCCAAGGGGGGTCAGTGGCAGGTGATCACCTTAGTTGCCAGGGCTTGCACCACATCCCGGACCTGGTGGTCCAGGCAGGAGATAGTGCTGTCCAGCTGGTGGTGCAGTGTGTGCTGGATCTGCTGCTGGTCGATGACGGCCCCGGTGCGCTGCTCCAGCTGCGCCCAGTCCAGCTGTGCCGGCAGCTTCCGGATCAGCAGCCGCAGCTGCTTGATGTTGTTCACCACGATGCAGAGCTGGGAGACGTGGGTCTGCTTCAGGTTGTCCCTCCCACACCCTCCTGCTGCATCCACCACCAGCTCCATCCCCATCGCTAGCCCCATCCTCATCCCCGTCCTCATCCCCATCTTCATTCCATCCCCATCTCCATTCCCAACTCCATCCTCATCCCCACCCTCATCCCCATCCCTATCCCCATCCTCATCCCCATCTCTATCCCCATCCTCATCCCCATCTCTATCCCCATCCTCATCCCCATCTCTATCCCCATCCTCATCCCCATCTCTATCCCCATCCTCATCCCCATCTCTATCCCCATCCTCATCCCCATCTCTATCCCCATCCTCATCCCCATCTCTATCCCCATCCTCATCCCCATCTCTATCCCCATCCTCATCCCCATCTCTATCCCCATCCTCATCCCCATCTCTATCCCCATCTCTGTCCCCATCCCCATCCTACTCCACCTGCTCACACCATTTCCCTCTGGATTTTCCAGCATTACAGCTATTTGGGGTCAACTGGTCCCCATGAAAGCCAGACCCGGGATGTCAGCTGGGTGCTCATCTCCCTCTCTGCCCTGAAACCATGGCCAGATCCTTCCCCTCCCTCAGCAGTGGACCCTGCCCAGATACCAACCCTGTTGGCTGCTTTGGCCTCGCTCTGCTCACTCAGTGACAGATCCTCAGCCCTCTCCTTGATGAGCCTGCAGTACATCAGGGCGATCTTGCATATGTCCTGCAGGAGAGAGGAGAACCCAGTGGGACTCAGCTGGGCAGCACAGGGACCACCGTGGTGCCAGGGGACCCTGCCACATCAGCAGTGCCCTGCTCCAGCGGCGCCCAGTCCAGCTGTGCCGGCAGCTTCCGGATCAGCAGCCGCAGCTGCTTGATGTTGTTCACCACGATGCAGAGCTGGGAGACGTGGGTCTGCTTCAGGTTGTCCCTCCCACACCCTCCTGCTGCATCCACCACCAGCTCCATCCCCATCGCTAGCCCCATCCTCATCCCCGTCCTCATCCCCATCTTCATTCCATCCCCATCTCCATTCCCAACTCCATCCTCATCCCCACCCTCATCCCCATCCCTATCCCCATCCTCATCCCCATCTCTATCCCCATCCTCATCCCCATCTCTATCCCCATCTCTGTCTCCATCCCCATCCTACTCCACCTGCTCACACCATTTCCCTCTGGATTTTCCAGCATTACAGCTATTTGGGGTCAACTGGTCCCCATGAAAGCCAGACCCGGGATGTCAGCTGGGTGCTCATCTCCCTCTCTGCCCTGAAACCATGGCCAGATCCTTCCCCTCCCTCAGCAGTGGACCCTGCCCAGATACCAACCCTGTTGGCTGCTTTGGCCTCGCTCTGCTCACTCAGTGACAGATCCTCAGCCCTCTCCTTGATGAGCCTGCAGTACATCAGGGCGATCTTGCATATGTCCTGCAGGAGAGAGGAGAACCCAGTGGGACTCAGCTGGGCAGCACAGGGACCACCGTGGTGCCAGGGGACCCTGCCACATCAGCATGGGATGCTGGCCCTGTTCATGGAGACGTGTGTCCAAGACTAGGAGAGGAAACTCCAGCTGCTAATGTTTGTGAGCATCTTGTGAGCACTCGGGACATGGTTTAGTGGTGGTCATGGCAGGGCTGGGTTAACAGTTGGATTTGATCATCATAAAGGTATTTTCCAACCAAAATGATTCTCTGATTCTGTGATCTAATGGCAGGGCCAAGTGTACAAACCTCCACCAGCTTCACCATGATCATAAAGGCTTCCTCAGGGTCTGGCCAGTTGAGCTGCTGCCAGGTCTTCACGATCTGGGCATAGCAGGTGGACAGGTCCACAGTGGACGTGCTGTGCTTGTTGTGCTCCCCAAAGGGTGTCAGCTGGGAGGGCAGAGAAAGCAAATGTAACTTGCTCCTTTCCTTTGAAGCTCTCTGGCCCATCATCAGCTCCATATATCCCCATGTCATCTCCCAGCCACTCTGAAGAGCAGAGGAGATGAGGATGGATAGAGCATCCCAAGCTCCTATCATTGGGCTGTGCCCCAGCAGACTCTAACCCAGCACTGATGAACCTCACTGAGGAGAGGGGTGAGGAGCCTGTGGCCCCATGGCTGCCTTCCCTCCCCTCTTCCTAAGGGTCAGAAGCAAAGGGGACATGTGGGCCAGGCACAGCAGCAAGGCATGGGAAGAGCTGGAGTGTCCCCAAGAGACAGAGGGAGAAGTTCTTCTCCCTGGCTTACCTGGTCCATCTGGACAGCTCTCTGTGCTCTCTCCAGTGCAATGGTGTAGGCCTTCTGCAGCCACTGGGGCACGGCTTCCTTGAACCACTGGTGGAAATTGCTCAGAGCCAGAGGTCCATCCCTGTGGAGAAAGGCACAAGCTTCTCCAAACCGCACAGTGACGACGTGGGGCCATCACTCCTCCTGCTCTCACAGGCAAGAAACTGCCTTGAGGCAGAGGCAGCACGTAGCAATGTGCTCAGGAGAAACCTTCACTTGTCTGGAAGTTGAGATCTCCACCAACACCACTCAAGAGATGAGCCTGAAACCCTCTTGGTGATGCTTATATCACCACCAGACACCAACAGCCAGGGTCTGCCTGCCTTGGGTGTAATTAGTGATGGAGATGAATGGGAAGGACCTGGAGTTCCTCTGAATTTACTGCTCGTTCTCCCACCCAGCATCTGCCCCCTCTCTGGGTCAGTACCTCTTTGGGACAAAGTCCTTCATCCGATAGAGCTCCTGCAGGTTCATGTAGAGCTGGAAAAGGCTCTCAGCTGTGGGCTTGGACATGCTGCTGTCCACCTCGTGCAGCTGCTCCTGGACATGTTCTGCAACCTGGCAGTGACCAAGGGAAGGGGGGACAGCTGTCAGTGAGGGTCCCCCTTCTGTGGGGTCTCTGCAGCCAGGGGGTGAGGGTCAGCCTGGGGGACTCCTCTTGCTTCTGGGTGGCATTTCAGGAGATTCACTGGGTCAAGTCAACAGGTGACAGTCACTGCCCGGGCGTGCAGGGGAACAGTTTCCCTGGCTTGCTGCCTTCCAGGCTTGCAACAACCAGCTGACCCCTGAAGGGTGGCCAAGAATCTCAACCTGACTTGAGACCTTAGTCCCACAAGTGCAGAGCAGCCCAGGCTCACTCACCAGGCTCTCCAGCTCCAGGTAGGCGATGGAGAAGAGATTTAACTTCAAGGTCCTGCAAGAGAGAGACAAGGAGTCAGGAGCCTGCTAGCCCCAGCCCAGCAAACCCAGCCCAACAGATCCTCCCAGGTCATGTCCTTGTCACAAGGATGAGGACAGCACAGCTCTAAGAGGCAGAGATAGGACCACAGATGCTACTGTGGAGCTCAAGAGCCAAGGAATGAAGCACCAAAGTGTCCTGTTGGTCTTGGCCCCAGGGAAGGTGAATAAGGAGAGATCAAGCTCCAAGACCCACCTGATGAAGAATTTATTCCAGATATTCTGGCACTGCTGCAGATCTCCTATCACCTCCACGAGCAGTCTGGACAAGGCTTTACCATTCTCCTCCACACTCTGCAAAGGGAGGAACAGCTGTTTTGGATACTCAATGATGTTGACATGACCTGAGCCCTGTTCAAATCTGACTGGTTTCTATGATTCATTCTTGTGGGGCAGCCATCTAATCAAGAAGTTGTCCCCATGAGCTTATGTGGTTGGTCTGGGGACCATCTCCTGTTCTACTGAGCATCACACCAAGACCTGAAGCTTCAATGCACCTCCACAGGTGCAGGTAACATGGCTCATGGTGTTTAAAGCTGGAAAGCCAAATGCCTTGGCTGTATCAGAAAACTGGAGAAGCCTCATCTCTGTTTTGTCTTCCCATCTCCTCAGGCTTCCCACCCCAAGCCCAGCAAATTGCTTCTTAACATGTCAGAGAATCAGAGTTGGGAACTGACCTTCACCATGGGCTGGAGGTGCTGCTTCTTCATGTGAAACCACTCCTTTGTGCCTGACTGCAAGAGAGGAGTCCTGGTGTGACAGCAGGAGGAGCAAAGCCAGCTCTGTCACCCCCTCCACCCTCCCTGTTCCCTGGGTGTGGGCAGGACCCAGTTGGGAACCACAGGCTGGGACCACCAGGTTGAAAAGGGGCAGGTATTTTCCCCAGCCAGGATGGTGTGTGTGTAGCTTTGCTGAGGTGTGGGCGTTGGGCAGGGATGGATGGGAAGGGAGAGCCATGGAGTCCCACCTCCCTGGAGCTGGGGGATCCTGGTACCTTGAGAGCTGTGGAGACCATCTGGGGGAGGTCAGGGCTGAGCGTGCACAGCTCATGAAAAGCTTTCATTTTGCACATCTGGACCAGGACCCTGCAAAGCAAGAACCCCGAGGGAAACCCAGCACAGGCCCATCAGAAACAACCACCTCTTCCCCCAGGCACCCTACCCAAACTGACCTTCCCCTCCCAACAACATTCCCCGTGGGGAACCCAGGATGAGGAACAGGACACAGTGTCACAGCAAGGGGCAGAAAGGACTCCCATGGGTTTTTGCTCAAGGTTACAGGCTTGTCCATCCCATGATGGCCAAGCCCTACGACCACATGTGCAGCTGGGACCAGTGCTCAACTCACTGGAGCAGGGACTGGAGCCTCTCCATGGACCTCGGGACGGAGAGGGGGAAAATGATGCGGAACCTTCGGATGAGGGAGACCCCATAAGCCAGCAAGGACTGGAAGGACTCAGCCAGCTCTGCTTTCTGAGGAGAAGGAAGGAAACATGTGCTGTCATCCTCAGCAGCAGCCAGAGATGTCAGCAGGACCATGGCTCCGTGGTGGAGGGTGCCCATGGCTCCTGCTCCTTTCAGGCCTGCTCCAGGGATGGGAAAGCCCCCTGATGCCTGGGGTAACTTCTCCATGGAGGGGCTGAGCTGAGCTTTGTGTTTAAGCCTGAAAAACTTGAGCAGTGTGCTGGGATGCCCTGGGAAAACGCGCAGGGAAGAATTTGGGTTATCTTTTAAGTTTATCAGGAGGTTGTGATTGCCCTGACAGCAGTGATGGAGGAGGGGGGTGTTGGTGCCAAGGATAAGGGCTTGAGCTGGTCCCCCTGGCTGGTTGCTCTCCAGGAATGTCCTCCAGCCACCCTGGCAGCCCTGTATCCCTCAACCTTCTGCCCTTCCTGGAGCACAGGGAGGGAAATGGCCCCAGGAGGTGGGAGAAGAGGCTGGGGTTGGGGGCAGGGGCCACGTGTCCCCCCATGGTGCTGAAGCCCCCTCACCTGCTCTGGCCTCAGGCGCTCCTGCACCCACTGGTACTCGATGCTGGTGATCTGGTGGAGCAGGCAGCTGCTGTTGAACTCCAGGCTCTGGTAGAGTTTGCTGTATGCCAGCCACTGCCTGGGGAGCAGGGAGAGGCTGGGCTGAGCCCCCGGGGGCTGGGGGCACCCAGGGGCCAAGGGGGGGGTCCCACACCCATGGCTATGGCTGGGGGTGCAGAGGCAGGACCTGGTGCTGCTCAGGGCAGAGCGTCAGCAAGTTTCCTGCGGAATTCACGGGAGAGACCAGCCCCCAGGAAGGTGTTGGAGTCCCCCACCCCCACCCCAATGCTTCACTGTGGCCCCCCAGGCATGGGGGTACTCACGCCATGACCTGGTGGAAGTCAGAGAGATCCTTCTGCGTGGCGTGCAGGTACAGCACGGTGCTGGCGTGGGGGCTCAGCTCCCCGTCCCAGGAGGTGCTGCCAGCCTGTCGGGGTGGAAAAGGAGGGCGACACGTCCTGGAGCCAGCTGGGCTGAGCAAGGAGGGGGACAGGCACTGGGATGGGGTGGGTTTGCACGACCACAGGAGAGCTGGGTGCCCTATAAGGGCGCCAGGCACGATCCTCCTCCCTGGCTCCTTGCAGCAATGGGTCAGGCGTGGTGGGCTCCAAGGAAGGCCTCACCCCCCCCAGCCCTGGAGAGCTGCTTCCCTCCCTCCATACCTGGTGCTGAAGGATCTCGTAGGACACCAGCTGCTGCAGGAGGTGGCGATGGACAGTGTAGCTGGGCTGTGTCCGGCTGCAGGTGGTGGCCCTCTGAGGAGAGACAAGGCACAGAAACTGTGTGAATCATCGTGGAATGGTTTGGGTTGGGGGGGGACCTTATAGATCATCTTGTTCCAAACCCCTGGGATGGGCAGGGACCCCTTCCACTAGACCATGTTTCTCCAAGTCCCATGGAAAGGGCCCTCCTACCTT